GCAATAAACTGTCAATTTATAATATTATGGATGTAAAAGTACAAGCCAGTAATGCCTGTGAAGTTATATATTAGCGTAGCACACAATCTTATACAGCTAGTCAGCTAACTGTGTTCTGTAGCATCTGCGCTGTGCTGCTAAAACTATCTTTTGGATCTAACTGTAATTATTTCACACATCCAAGTTCCAGGTTATAATATGCAGAAGTCCAAACATTAATCTCTTAATTTTACTGTAAGTAGTGAAATTTACCCAAAATAAAGGCTTAAACATCTAAAAAAAAATGCACATTTAAGGGGCTCCTCTTTTGGTGAAAGTTTTTAGACAGCTTTCCAAATGGCCGCCAGACAGTGTGAACACATGGAGACTCTCATATCTCAGTGTGCACTGATCTGACTGACTTGAAATTACAGGAGGTATGTAGTAACAAACACATCAATTGACATTAAGTAGGATAATAAATCATTTTTTTCTTTTCATAATCTGATGTTAAAAATGGCAGTGTGCTTTAATGGGTACGTTTACCCTAAATGTTATTTTAAGATTAGTAGTGTTGCAACATTCTCTTTCAACATCATTTTTATTAACACAACATTCCAGATACAAGCAAGTATATAATTACATATGCATTTCAACAGGTATTTGAATTATTAAAGATGCACACTTTCAAAAAAACTCATTAACAGATTGGTGAAAATTGCATATCATGTAAAAAAGTTGAATATTTAGTTTAACTATAACATTTAGTTTAGCTATTATTTACTATAACTTCACAGCTGAACGTAATAAACTATCATATTAACATTTAATCAGTGAGAACTTCTATATGAATTTGTGTGTGCTGAAAAACTAGCACTGTGGGAACTGTGGTCCATGGCCTGTCTCATCACGCTCTATCTGTAAAGTAAACCGATTGGCTGATGTTACAAACTGTGTTATTACAACATGCTTATGAAATCATTAGTGTGGCTATGCCAAAAAAGTTATTAGGATCTGTGGAAGAAATTTGATTAATATGTTATGGTATGTTTTATTAATATGATATGCTTATTGAACATTGTGTTATGTTTGCAATTTCTGTATTGCTTAGAGTCACATGTTTCTTTGCTGATTTAACAGAACAAAGAACAGCTATTGATCTTGAAGGTGTGTTTGACAGTAAAGAGCACACACGATCCTTATTCTAATGTGGATTAGGGTTGTGACGGTGAGGAAATTTTCCCACCGGTTAATCGACATGTGACAACACCGGTAATACCGGTATCACCGCGGGGGCGGGGCGTTCCCTCGTTTACTCGCTTTCCTTCACTTTTAAATAGCTTGAAAGCGCCGTGCGCATTTTACTTTCACTTAGAGACAACAATTTTTGGGGATTGAGATATAAGTAATATAATAATTGGGTTTATGGAAAAGAGTAGAAATAAGTAGGACTGAGACAATGATAATACTTGTTGCATCTGCAGACTTAACCATTTGATAGAGGCATACTGTAACAAGTAGCTATAACGAAAAAAGAAAAATCTAATTAAGTTAATATTATTATGAACTTTGACAGTGCATTTCCAAAATGCAAACTGTTTTAAAACAGCTTTCATAAAAAACAGCTCAACATAAAATGATGCAGGGTGGCCGCGGGTCCTTAAAAAGTCTTAAATATATTTTTCCTAATAAAAGGCCTTAAAAAGTCTGAAAATTTCTTGCATTCAGATTCGATAGGTCTTAAATATTTTTCGTCGCATTACCGCAAAAATGTCTCCAGTCTGACGGACCCAATGACTGATCATTGATTGGACAGAAGATTTTTTTTTTTCGCGGTAGTTGTTGCGTTGCGTCATCAGAGAGAATTGAGGCAGCAGGTACCGTAGCTCTAATGGGTAAGTGCAAATTGAATGATAAATGGCTCGAGAAAGATGAATTCTGGTGGTGGTTGAGGCCGGTGCCGGGAAATGTCTACGAGGCAAACTGCGCCGTTTGTAGAAAATGTTTTAAACTGGGTACAATGGGCATCAAAGCGGTGGAATCGCACACGCAGAGCGGGAAGCATAGGGAGTATGCGAGTGCCCGTGAGAAGCAGAGTGCAATTGAAGGTTTCTGTTCCACCCTTACCACGAGCAAAGATGTCACCACAGATGTTGGAAATCCACAGCCTACAATGCCATCATCTGACCTCCGTACAGTTTTTGGCTCATCGCCAAACAACAAGGGTAACAATCAATCACTCATTCAGGTCAAATGATGGGATTGAGGAGGTCTTCAAAGCTATGTTTCCAGACTCGGGGCTTGTTCAGACATTTACGTGTGGAAAAGATAAAAGCAGATATATAGCTAAGTTTGGACTGGCGCCATATATAAAAAAAGAACTAATAGCCTAGGTCAACAGATGTGGTGCTGTTGTGATCATGTTTGATGAGACCCTGCACCAGACAACTAAAAGCAAGCAACTGGACCTTCATGTGCGGTATTGGTTAAATGAACGTGTTCAGTCAAGGTTCTTTGGATCTCAGTTTATGGGGCATGCAACTGCACAAGATCTACTTCAGCATTTCAAAGTAAGTTTTCTTTTAATCTGTGTATTTATCAATTTACCTATGTAGGCTAACGTAAGGCCCACATTATGACACAGTGTTTTTACAACTTTAGGTTAACAAGTATATAGCTGAATTGTAATTTATATAATATATAAGTTATATATAATTGTGTATATAGTCTATAATTGTGTATGTTTTAGTTAAGTATATAGCTTAACTATATATTTAAATGCTGTACAAAATTTTCAACACTGTTACTTTCCCATCTTAAGTGTAGTCTACTGATTTGCCAAGTGAATAACAACCGTAAAGGGCAGTAAATGTTAATAATCTTACCAGCTGAGATGAATTTACTGTAATACATTTTAGAATAAAGCTTGGTGTTTTACAAAACTCTTAATAAATCTAAATGTATCTTAATAAAGTATACAGACCGATATAACCCACATTCACTGTGTGGCCAGACTCTGTACTGGTTTTCTGGTTATAAAAATGGTTCATGTTGCTTCATTTTTTAAAGTGTCAGAGATGAAATGTGTTGACTGTTGTTTGTTTAATGTTTACTTTTTTTATTCCCAGGAGTGTGTGCAGCAACTTGACCAGAGAAACATGATTTCCGTCTCCATGGATGGACCCAGTGTCAACTGGAAGTTGTTTGAACAGCTCCAGCAGGAACATGCAGAGGCGTTTGGAGGTGCCCAGCTGACTGTGGTCAGGAGCTGTGGGCTCCACACACTCCATAATGCCATCAAAAGTGGTTTCAGTGTCTGGCAAATGGAGAAGGTGCTCAGGGCACTACATACAATCTTCCATAATAGCCCTGCTAGAAGAGAGGATTTCTGCACTTTGACCAAAACTTCCGTGTTTCCCTTGCCATTCTGTGTGCATCGATGGATAGGAAACCTACCAGTCATCGATAGGGCTTTTGCAGTATGGCCGATGATCGTGATGTACATAGATGCAGTGACACAGAAAAGGCTTCCAAATCCAAGAACATCATCCTATGACTCCCTCGCAGAGGCACGAAATGATCCTCTCATAATGGCCAAGTTTCACTTCTTCATGGCTATCTCCAGGACCTTCTCCACCTTTCTGACTAAATATCAGACGGATGAGCCTGTGATGCCATTCATTAGCAAAGACCTGGTCATGCTCATGAAGGTAATAAATAACATGCCACAGAAGTAGTATATGATGTTTCCATTTGAATTCAATAACATTAAGACTTATTTACATTGTACTGTATATGTGTTCTATATATGTCATGTATATGTAAGGGAGAAGTCGTGGCCTAATGGTTAGAGATTCGAACTCGTAACCCAAAGGTTGTGGGTTCGAGTCTCGTACCGGCAGGGATTGTAGGTGGGGGGAGTGAATACAGCGCTCTCTTCCACCTTCAATACCACGACTGAGGTGCCCTTGAGCAAGGCCCCGACCCCCCAACTGCTCCCCGGGCGCTGCAGCATAAATGGCTGCCCACTGCTCCGGGTGTGTGTTCATGGTGTGTGTGTGTGTGTTTACTGCTGTGTGTGTGCACGTTGGATGGGTTAAATGCAGAGCACTAATTCCTAGTGTGGGTCACCATACTTGGCCACATGTCACATCATTTTTCTTCTTTTCTTTCTTTTTTCTTCTTCTATGTTCTCAGAGCCTGCTAAAGAGGTTCATCAAGGAAGAAATCCTTAATGACATAACTGCACTGCAGATGGTCAGATTGGATACAACTGACAAGAAAGCAAGAAAACAACTAAAGAATGTGGACATCGGCTTAGGAGCAGAAGCAGTCATAAAGGTGTTGTGGCAAATATCAAACAACGGTTAGGGTACAGGAATTTGCGTAGAACATTTAGTCATTCATTCTTCCTGTTAGGAACTCCAGAGTAGTTGCAGAGTAGGTGAGCTCAGTGTGTTGGAGTTTAGAAGGGACTGCATGGCCTGTTTGACTAACATCGTCCAGAAAATTCACGATAAGAGCCCATTGAAGTACACTGTTGTGAGGCAGATGGCATGTTTGGACCCAGAAAACATGTTCTCAGACCCTAACTTGTGCCAGGAAAGAATGAAGCGAATTGTTCATAGGTTTCTACAAGACCACCAGCTGCCAGGAGGCATCTCTGCTGGTATTTAAGATTTCAGAGATCTAGCAGAATGTACACAGTCACATTTACCTGAAGCTTGTTTTCACACAATTTAGCAGTGATAGGTTTGTCTGATTCAGTTTTTTGGTTTTTCATTGTTATTTGTGTTATTTATTGTATCTTAATCTGTTTTACAACAGGTGATGTAATTGTCCAGCAGTTTGGAAACTTCTTGTCTCTGGAGGCAAAATCAGAGTCATTGTCTTCTTTCCAACCCATGAAGACAAGGCTGGATGTTTTCCTGCATGGACTCCTCCATCAATCCTACCCTGAGCTCTGGACTTTCTGCAGGAAACTTCTGCTCCTCTCCCATGGCCAAGCAACAGTGGAGAGGGGCTTTTCTATTAACAAGGAGGTAGAGGCCGATAACATACGGGAGGACACCGTTGTTGCTCAGAGGATGATATGTGACTATGTTTCTGTCTGCGGGGGGGTTCTAAAAGTTCCTCTGACGAAGGAGATCCTGGCAGCTGCAGCTTCTGCAAGCAGTATCGGCTACACCTGGACCAGGAAAAGAGAAAGCAGGAGAGCAATGCACAAAGAGAAAAGCTGCAGAGGACCACATTGAGCAGCTCAAAAAGAGGAAGATGGTAGTAGCTGAGGTGGCAAACAGCCTTGAAAAAGAAGCAGACAAACTGGCAGAGCAAGCTGAGGGTAAATCAGCTGATCACCAAGTCTAATATTCTGAGGAAGTGATCCAAAGAAAAGGTCGCAGAACTAAAAGAGGTTGAGACTGAGTTAGGAAATAAATCCGTAGAACTCAGGCATATGCCATAATGTCATATGGTGTAATATCCAGTTAACCATTTTCTATATCCTCTCTACCTTCTCAATGAAAAGGTCTGTTCCACATTTCTCATTTCAAATGAAAATTGTTCATTCACATTGTTATGAGTCAAATATTTGTATAAGGTAGACATAATAGTAATACAAGCCAGAACAGAAATCAACCTGTTGTTCTGAGCTGGTTAATGATAGTAATTAATGTGGTGCAGTGGCTTCTTTGCAGTTTAACAGCAGTTGAAATTGTTGTATTTTGTTTTCATTAATTATTTTTCTATTAATTTTCTCCTTCAAAAGAACAGTATTTCTCTAGCTATGTGGCAGCTGTCAATTTTGATTTCTTGGATATTGTATGCAGATATGAAAGCTCACTGTATATTGCAATAATAAATAGCATTTGTGACCGTAATGATATTTTGTGATTTCTTTTTGTGTGTTGTGTGTGTGTGTGTGTGTGTGTGTGTGTATATATATGTGTGTGTGTGTGTGTTTCCATCGCATGTTTGGTCTTAAATTTCATGTAAGGTGGTATTAAAAAGGTCTTAAGTCTTAAATGTAACTTGTTCATATCTGTAGACACCCTGTGATGTAGGACCTCTAAGTTCTAAATGTTTGGCTTTTGATGGTCAAAGTGAGGCAGAGGGTTACTCAATCTGAGTGGAAATTTCTAAATTATAAATGTGTGGACAAAAGACGGATAAAACATAGTTTATTTGAAAATGCATGTCATCTGTCAGAAGTGTTAAGCTGGGCTAGAGTTAAAAGATAGAATGAAATTATGTTAAAAGTTTATGAAAAAGCAGTGTTACCAGCCCTGAATGCCTCAGTGGTGTCTCTCTCATTCAAAGTCAGCTGAATGCTGTTATAACAAGCTAACCCATGCCTCCATTCTACTTCATTATAGTAGAGCACAGCGCTTCAGTGGAAAATCATAGACATAGAGAAATTATTACCATGAAGAGGGCAATTTGTTGTTAAAGGTGTCAAAGTAAAACTCAATGACTTTAAAGAGGTCTTTAAATACAGACCTTGAAAGATGGATGGTTACATTTTAGACTAAATTTATTCTATGACTAGTAATTTTTTTTGTCTAATCATTAGTCTCCACCATGATACAGGGCCAATGGCTCCGGCCAAAGATGTAGTAGAACTTTAGATTGAACGGACGGTTGTGATAGCAGTGCTGAGATTATACTCAGTGATACTAGCTATGTTGCTGCTTTAAAGATGTCTAATGGATTTTAGTGATTAAATACTGCTGTAATTAACCTGTCTCCCTGTTTACTATTAGGAAGTCCAAATGGCTCTGGTGCTCTTGAATGCACTTAGGAATAAAGCTCCAGAAAACACCTGATTCTGATGAAGATTTTGGAATGGGAAAGAGTGGTTAAGGTGTGCATGAGGTGATTTCTCAATGACGGGTAAGATCCTCTTTGGCCAGACAGAGGACAACCTAAGGCAGGGGGTCATGCTGCAACTGGGCATCTACCCTGAAGGGAGGCGTTTTATGTGAGATGGGTATGAGAGTGGAGCGGATGTCTGTGAGGCCAGCAGCATCATAAACGGGGGATGTGCTGTGAGAAGTTACAGCAGTCTGCCCCAAAAATGTTCCTCCATACCACTCACCAGAAACCGCATTCCTAGGATGGCTTGTTTTTAATTTTGACAAGTCCACAACTTGATGCAACTATGCCAAGGGACAACACCCTGAGGAAATGGAGACTGTTTATAAAGAGCTAATGGGAATGGGCTTTCAAGAGCCGGCTGAAACCATGAGGTTATTGTCTGTAATTCCTGGGGAGACCATAGCAAAATTTATTAACATGATGTTGGTTGCGTTATGGGCAAGAACTGTATAGAAGTGTAGGATTCAGTATTATGGTGAGTCCCTGAATCTGTGAGATGTGTTGATATTGAACTAATATGTCTCGATCATGGTTTTCAATCCTGCAGGTCATTAGACATGGCACAGGATAATTCCAAGACATGGTGGTGGCTAAAGATGAAGACCGCTTTTTCTGATTCAAGAGAAAGTCTGGATAACAAAGGTTAAGTGAGTTCAGCATTTAAACTGACGATAATCTTAGGAATGCTCCTAGCATAACGTATTTTAGATTGTAATTGGTTTTTATTTGGAAGTTAATCATTTACATTTGAACATTTGTGAATGACTAAGGGTTCTATATTATAATGAACTTAATATTACATTCTGTCTAAGTCACAGTCTTAGGAGGCTGTTGAAAAGATTATTTGTACTGTAAGAGAGAGACTGCTTGAGTGCAGGCAGGGATGGTGCTCTGTCTGTCCGTTATTGGCCTGCTAAAGCTTAAACAAAACAAAAAGCAATGATTTTGGAACTAAAACGCTGACTTTCCTAAAAACAAATTTATAATGAACAGACATGCTTTGAGTTAAGAGACCATGTAAATAACTAGGTAAAACCTGCAGAAAAATGCAACATTTAAATCTTTTTGAGAGTTAACACCAAAAGCAAACCATGAAAATGAGGTGTGTGTGAAAGTGACTGCACTTTGTTTTGTATGTGTTAGTTCAGGCTACTATTCTGTCCCCATTGTGTGTATATTGTGTCACTAACTGTGAAATGACAAACTTTAGAGAAGCTGACAATTCAGAGTGAATCTGGCTGGAAAAGATGATACAGAACATGGGACAGCTTTAATTTGATTGGTTATCCAGCTCTGTCTGCTAGTGAGCATGAAATATTTTGCTTCATAGGCAGAGAAAGCTGTCTGGAAGAAATCTGGCTACAGTATTAAAGACGGTGTTTGGTTTAGTGTTGATGGTAAACCTTGTTTACTTAAATATTTCTTCAACCACTATGCTACACTGATGCACGGGTTGGGCTATGCATCAAAAGGGGGGATGGTAATGAAATAATAATGGCACACCTGCACAGCCATAAAGTGAGGGATCAAAGGTGCGTGCTGGTAACGCCCTCCCTCACCAACGAGGGAGAGCCCATTGCAACTGCTCGCAAAGAGTCACCTTGGTGAAGATGGAATGTCCATGCGGGCAAACGAGATGATCAACACACCTGGAAGAAGATGTGGACCAAATAATGGTTTAAGCTTAGCAAAAGAATCCATTTGTGTGATTTTATTTTTCGAACCAGGTCTGAATATTATAGTGCAATAGATTGAAGCTTGCAATATAGGACAAAAAGAAAATCCGGCTAATCATTAAAATCTGTGAAGTATGGTATTAGTTACGGAGAAGACAACCCGTGATGGATCAATTATGAACTATTCCAGTTCTACAAAATGACCCAAATTGGCTCAGATTTAGTTTAATTATTTTATATTTTAGATATAATGCCATGTCAGCAGCCTAGGCTATTCTCATGGCAAAAGCTGGGTCATACAGAAGTTACATTGTTTAAAACAAGAGATTAAATTATAAAACCTTTTCTGGTTAGATCTTTTAAATAGGTAGTTAAAAAGAGCCTATTAAGTAAAACAATTGCCTGCTTGCATTAAAAGCTAACAAAATATGGTTAGGAAAATGGAGATATGAAGCTGTGCACGGGGTGACACTGGGTGTCATGAGTGTATGTGTCATCCTGATAATATTAATCCTAGTAAAACATTTCATACTTTAATATTTGTTAATATTACTGTTAATAATTTCATAAGTTAATACTTGCAAATTGGATGCCTATATCCACAAAAACAGCCTTAGTATGAGATCAGGAAAATGGGCATTTACGTGAAAATCTGACGAATAGCATAAGTATATGAAGCTTGATTGGCTATGCTGTATTATTATATAGTTATCAATTAATGATAAAAAGGGGGGAATTGTGGAAGAAATTTTATTAATATGTTATGGTATGTTTTATTAATATATGCTTATTGAACATTTTGTTATGTTTGCATTTTCTGTGTTGCTTAGAGTCACGTTGTCTTGGAAATTTTTGGAATTGATCAATAAATGTGAAACTGAGAATGAAAAACCAGTCAAAGAGTTTGTCTCAATTCAATTCAATTCAATTCAATTCATGTTTATTTGTATAGCGCCTTTTACGATACAAATCATTGCAAAGCAGCTGTACAATATATGTTTCTACAATATATTTAGTAGTAGCTTATCAGTGGTGACTGTCAGTAAATGTGCATATGGCAGAAATGTACGGAAAAATCAATTAAAGACGTAATCAAACAGAC